CCTTCTTCAGTGAACTCCTGTATCCCCTATATACCTCCAGGGATTCCCTTGATCCAGCTACCTGTTCCTGAGCCATGCCTTCTTTTTTTCTGGTCAAAGCCTCAATATTTCTTGTCATTCAGCGTTCCCTACTGCTGCCAACCTTGCCCTTCACCCTCACAAGAACATATAGACCTTGAACTCTAGCTATCACACTTTTAAAGGCCTCCCATTTGCCAGAGATCTCTTTGCCTGCAAATGAACTACTCCAATCAACCCCTGCAAGCTCCTGTCTAATTCCATCAAAATTCGCCTTGTCCCAATTTGGAACTTGAACCTTCTCCATAACTTTTTAAAAATTCATAGAACTACGGTCACTGGTCCCAAAGTGCTCCCCCACTGTCACCTCAGACACCTGTCCTGCCCTATTTTCCATGAGTAGGTTGAGTTTTGCCCCTTCCCAAGTAGGACCCTCTATATACTGCTTAAGGAAACTTTCCTGAACACACTTAACAAATTCCACCCCATCTAAGCCTTTAACACTGTGGCAGTCCCAGTCTATGTTAGGAAATTTAAAATCCCCCACTATGACAACCCTATTACTCCTGCAAGTCTCTGCAATCTCACTGCGTATTTGTTCTAATTCCTGTTGACTATTTGGAGGCCTATAGTACAACCCCGTAACGTTACCATCCCCTTCTTATTTCTTAGCTTCACCCACAAAGACTGACTGAATGATCCCTCAGTTATTTCATCTCTGACTACTGCTGTGACACTCCCCTTAACCAAAAATGCAATTCCGCCTCCCCTTTTTCCTCCTCTGTCCTGTCTACAGCACCTGTACCCTGGCACATTAAGCTGCCAGTCCTGTCCCTCCCTTAGCCATGTTTCTTTAGTGGCTATAATATCCCAGCCCCATGTACCTGTCCACACACTGAGTTCATCGGCCATACCTGTCAGCCCTCTTGCATTGAAATAGATGGAATTTAATCCAACAGGCATTCCTCATTCCCTGTCCTGTTTCAGCCTTACCTGCCGCTTCAACTTGCTATTTCTGATTACTGTATCTCCTTCCAGCCTCGCACTTGCCTCCATGCTGTTGAAGATCCCACACCCCTGCCAATCTAGTTTAAACCCTCCCTTGCAGCACCAGCAAATCCTGCCCGCCAGGATACTTGTCTCCCTCCAGCTCAGGTGCAACCCATCCCTCTGTCACCTCTGCCCCAGAAAAGATTCCAATGATCCAGGAATCTGAATCCCTGACCCCTGTACGAATTTTTTAACCACACATTCATCTGCCATACCCTCCTGTTCTTACCCTCACTAGCATGTGGCACTGGAAGTAATCCTGAGATTACCATGGTCGAGGTCCTGGTTTTTAACTTTTTTTCCTCGCTCTGTATAATCATTCCACAGGACCCAATCCCTATTTCTACCTATGTCATTTGTGCCAGCATGCACAAAGGCTTCTGGCTGGCTCACCCTCCCCCTTGAGAAAGTTTTGCAGCCACTCCAAGACATCCTGGACCCTGGCACCTGGGATGCAACACACCATCCTGGATTCCCGTCTGCGGCCAAAGAATCTCCTGTCTGTCCCCCTAACTATCAAATCTCCTATTACTGAGATCCTGTTTACCTTTACTCTCTTCTGCCGTGCCCCAGAGCCAATCGTAGTGCCACTGACCTGGCTACTGGTGCTTTCCCCTGAACGGTCAACCCCCCCCAACTGTATCCAAAACGGTATACTTGTTTTTGAGGGGAATGGCCACAGTGGATTCCTGCACTCTCTGCCTACTCCCTTTGCCTTTCCTGGTGGTCACCCAGCTGCTCTCTGCCTGCACCTTAGGTGTGACCACCTCAATGAAACTTTTATCTATGATGTGCTCAGCATCTTGGATGATCCCAAATGTATCCAGCTCCAGCTCCCTAACATGGTCTCCCATGAGCAGCAGCTGAATGCACTTTCCACAGGTGTAGTCATCAGGGATGATGGAAGTCTCCCTGAGCTCCCACATCCTGCAGGAGGAGCATGCCACTGCCCTAACTACCATCTCAAATGCTCTAAGACTAAAGAGGAAACTTAAAAGGACTTTACCTGAGTTTACCTTTACTTTTTGCTGAGCTGCTGTTCACCAAAGCCTCTCGAGCCAATGCCTTATTTTTCATCCTGCCACCAACAAATTTTCAAAAGCACATCCCTTTCCCCTTTTTTTTGGTTATAGGAGGAGGGAGGGAAACACCACAGTGATGTAATGTTTGGAGCTTAAGTACTCCTTGGATGCCGGGCCCCAATAATCTGCTCCTTAGTGCTATGTATGCACCAAAGAGATGCCTCTCCCTCTCAGTCACCCTCTGCTGGATCCAATGCATTTTCACACCCCATAGCCCCCATTATGAGCTATCTAACTTCTCTTCTTAAATAAACAAAGAACTACAGATGATGGAAATCTGAAACAAAAATAAAAATTGCTGGAGAAACTCAGCAGTACTGGCAGCATCAGTGGAAAGAAAACAGAGTTAATGTTTCAAGTCCAGAGATGCTTCAACAAATCCCTCTGTCTGTCTAACTTTTTTCCTTTCTCTCTGGGCTGTCTCTAACTATCTGTTCACTCCTTGTCCCCCAACCCCGCATCACCATCATCAAGATAAGAACCATAAGAAATAGGAACAGGAGTAGGTCATTCGGCCCTCGAGCCTGCTTCGCCATTCAAAAGGGGCATGGCTGATCCAATGTTCCTCACAACCACTTTCCTGGGTCTTCCCCATAACCCTGACTGATCAAGAACCTCTCTATCTCAACCTTAAATATACACAAGGGACTTATTCAGTATTATAATCAGCTGGCACCATACAATCTGCAAATAATTCTGGTTTCCATTTGCCAAAAAGAATAGAGAGAGAGACAGCTGCAGAAGCTCAAAAATAAATGTTTACTGAAATGAGGCCTGAGTGAGAGTCCTATCAGAAAAGATGGAACAGTTTGAACTTTTCTGTAGAAAAGAAAAGGCTGAAGGATAAGCTGCTGGAAATATTTATGAATTGATAGGGCAGGTACACTTAGATAGCCACTAAAAGATCCAATAGGGAATTCAGAGCAAACCTCGTTACCCACAGAATGGTGAAAATATGGAACCCATGCACATAAGGAATGATTGAAGCAACTAGTGTTGTTGTATTTGAAGGGGATATGTTGATAGGGTTAGATAAAGAGTTTTGGGAGGAGGTTTGTGTTGATCATAGGCACTGCAATAGGCCTTTTGATTCAAATGACTTGTTTCATGTTTGAAGTTGAATATCTCCCTTTTCTGAAAGTTATGATTGAATCTGATTCCACCAACCTTTCAAGCAGCACCTTCTGGACCATTATCATTTCTTGCATTAAAAGAAAATTCTCCTCAAAGTCCATCACCAGAGATCAACATATCAACACAAGATGTTAGGGTAGCTAAAACCCGCTATGCAGAAGGATAATTCAAAACAAGTATTTGTCATGTCTTCATTCACTGAAGCTGAGAAACCAATTAATAGTGAGATTCTGGGGTGTGTCAAACAGAGAGACCTTGGGGTGCAGATATATAGTTCCTTGAAAGTGGCAACACAGGTAGACAGGGTGGTGAAGTAGGCATTTGATACACTTGCCATCATCAGTCAGAACACTGAGTATAGAAGTAGAGACGTTGTGTTATATCTGTACAAGACATTGGTAAGGCCACTAGGAGACAGCAAGAACTGCAGATGCTGGAAGTCAGAGTCAATACAGTGTGGAGCTGATGAAGGCTCCCGACACAAAACATCAACTTTCCTGCTCCTCTGTTGCTGCCTGACCTGCTGTGTTCCTCCAGCTCCACACTGTATCGATTGTTAAGGCCACGTTTGAAGTAATACAATTCTGGTCACCCTGCTATAGGAATAATGTTATTAAACTGAATAGGGTGCAAAAAAATTTACAAGAATGCTATCCAGTCTGGAAGGTTTGAGTTATAAGGAGAGGGTGGATAGGCTGGGACATTTTTTCCCTGGAGCATAGGTGAATGAAGGGTGATCTTGTAGAGGTTAATGCATTCATAAATATCCAATGGTAGAGGAATCCAAAGCCAGAGGGCAGAGGTTGAATGTGAGAGGGGAAAGATTTAAAAGGGACCTGAGGAGCAACCTTTTTCCAAACAGAGGAAACGAGCTGCCAGAGTAGTGGCAGGTACAATTACAATGTATATAAGACATTTGGACAGGTACATGGATAAGGAAGAAAAACCAAAAGAACTGTGGATGCTGTAAATCAGAAACAAAAATAGAAATTGCTGGAAAAGCTCAGCTGGTCTGGCAGCATCTGTGGAGAGAAATCAGAGTTAACGTTTCAGGTCAAGTTCTGAGGAAGAGTCATTCTACCCGAAACGTTAACTCCGATTTCTCTCCACAGCTGCTGCCAGACCTGCTGAGCTTTTCCAGCAATTTCTGTTTTTGTTATGAATAAGAGAGGTTTAGAGGTAAGACGTTTCCCCTGGTTGAGGAGCCTGTAACTATGAGACACCATTGGAAAATAAGTGGGATACCATTTAGTGCCGAGGTGAGGAAAATTTCTTTTACTCAGAAGGTGGCATAGTGGCTCAGCGGTTAGCACTACTGCCTCACAACACCAAGGACCCGGATTCGATTCCATCCTTGGGCAGCTGTCTGTGTGGAGTTCGCACATTCTCCCTGTGTCTGCGTGGGTTTGTGCTGGTTGCTCTGTTTTCCTCACAGTCCAAAGATGTGCAAGTTAGGTGGATTGGCTATGCTAAATTGCCCGTTGTGTCGAGGGGTGTCTAAGTTAGGTGGATTAGACAGGGGAAATGCAGAGAAAGGGTAGAGGAATGGGACTGGGTGGGGATGCTGTTCGGAGGGTCGGTGTATACTTGTTGGGCTGAATGGCCTGCTTCCACACTGTAGAGAGTCTATGATTGTGAACCTTTGGAATTCCGTACCACAGAGGGCTAAGCTCAGTATGTAAAAGTATGTTTGAGTATGTAAAAAAAGATAAGTACCACATTTTCCTCGCTGATGTCAATTCTGATGTGGGGTCACTGGACTCGAACCTGCTTTCTCTCTCCACAGATGCTGATGAGTTTCTCCAGCAATTTCTGTTTCACATCCTTCCTATAAAGCAGAACTGCACACGGTACTCCATGTATCTATACATTAAAAAAAGGGGTGCTTTGTTTTTACAGTGGAGACCTTTCAGACAGGAGTTGGAGATCATTTCCAATTTTAGGGTTGTTTTTGTTTGAAGCGTCTTGTTCTTGTGTAGAGGGACCATTCAGGTTGCTGTAGCAACCAACTCCAACAGAACCGGAAGACGTTGCCGGGTGACCCGGAAGCAGTAACTCCCGTGAGGGGCGGGGTCAGAGCTTGTCGTGATGGAGACTGCGGCCTCTGCTCCGGAGTTCAGCCTCGCCGCCTGCTCGGCCGCACTGGAGGCGGCGCTGCGGGGCCCGGGCTGTGCCGACGGCCGGGTCTGGTTCAAGGAGAGCAGCGGGCGCAACCTAAAATCCCGGGACTGGATAGCGCCTAGAGCGGCTTTGAGCAAACTTTACCCGCGGGGCCAGGTGGGGCGAGAGGAGCTAGGCCGCCAGCGCGGGTGGTGGGTGGGTCACAGAGAAAACAAAATCACAGTGGGTAACAAGGTGTAGAGCTGGATGAACACAGCAGGCCAAGCTGCATCAGAGGAGCAGGAAAGCTGACGTTTCGGGTCTCGACCCTTCAGAAAATCACACGAGGCTTCTCCTCCGCCCCCCAAACAAAATCCAGTTTGACCAAAAATAAGATGAGGCAACGCCCTTGCACCCAAAGGCAAGGGGCGAGATCGAGCTGGGATTGTTTCCACTGCAGTCAGAGAATGAAGATTTTTCAGAGATTTACTTCTAAGTGATCAGGAGCTTGGAATGTGAGCAGTATGCCTGCACATCGATTGGTGGAAAAGAGTAGAGGGGCTGAGTGGGCTCCTCCTGTTCCCAAGACCGATTTCCTCTGGGTGGGGAGAGGTTTCAGACAAGGGGTCGTGGATTTCAGATCGTCAAAGAGAGTGGGATGTGCCAGGAGAAATTTGCTTGAGCGCACTTTCTAAATCCAGGAAGCATACCGTGGTTGCTTGGTTCACATTGATCAGTATATCTGCATGACCTGGCTCACTGGTCTAGTTGTCAGCAGCCCCGTCATTCAGCATTTTGACTTGGGACAGATTTCTCTCAGAGCCATTTTCATGGGAAGGTTGCACCTGACCTGGGGACCATGCAAGAGTTTGTTGAGGGTAGAGGCATGCAGAGCAAACAGCTTGCAGACACGGAACATAAGCTGTATAACTTAAAGCCCTTTGTCAGGTCTGCCATGCCTACTGGTTGAAAATCAGCATTTGGCACCCCTATCACTGTCCCACCCACTTTACCAACTGACCAATGGGTAGCACTGTGTCGTTTGACTCCCAACTAAGGGTCTACCCATAGCACATGGAATGCAGCAGTTCAAGAAGGCAGCTCACATTCTCAAGGCAAACAGGGACGGGCAATAAATGCTGGCCAGTTAGCAACACCTGCATCCCACAAGTGAATAAAAAAATTGAATCTGCATGGCTGCTAATAGGATATTAATTTAGGTTCACATTTTCTGCAAAGCAGAGGCTTCAGTGGGTGTATCGTCATTTGCTCTCTGACACAGTGCTTCAGCTAAGTACTGTCGCTGGAAAACTGGAACCTCTTGGTCACCTGAGTTTTCACAGTATGCACTGTTTAATGGACTATTTGAAGACGAAAGTATTGAATTTTAAAAATATGTGTATATGGGTGACATAAAGGAAGATACAGGGGTACAGAGAATGTGACAGACAATGGGATTAATTTTGCATTATACTCAAAGAGTAATCAGACCTCTGATCTTTTCAGTTGACCAGCTTTCTGATAGAATACCTGATGCTTGTTGTTGAAAGTACAAAATATTATGAAATGAACCATATTTATCCAGAAGCTCATTAGAACATCCTTTTCAGCCTCTTCCTTGGGCTGCCAGTGCTACAGATGTCAGTCTTCAACCAATTTGATTAATTTTCCATGATATGAAGAAACGGCTAAAAGCACTGAATGCTGCAAAGGTAGTAGGCCCCAACAGCATCCTGACTGTAGTTCTACAGATTTGTGCTGCAGAACTAGCTGCACCATTCGCCAAGCTGTTGTGATATAGCTCCAGTCCTGTCATTTACTTGTTAATGTGGAAAACTGTTCAGGTATGTCCCACCCACAGAAAATGGAGACAAATTAAATCCTGTCTCCATCTGCTGCAAATCAGAGGTGTTGGTGATAGGGCTGTCATGTGACTTTTACTCAGCAGTAACCTGCTGACCAGTGCTCAGTTTAGGTTTCGTCAGGATAAGTCAGGTCCAGACCTCTTTACAGTTTATCTGAACAAAAGAGCTTAATTCCAGATGTAAGCTGTGATTGACTTCCCTTCATCATATCTAGGCAGCATTTGACTAAGTATGGCTTCAGAGAGTCTGAGCAAAATTACAGTCAGTGGGAATCATTAGTTGGAATAGTATTTAAACACAAAGGCAGATGGTTGTTAGAGACAATAATACTTGTGTTATTGCTAGAATGTTAATTCAGAGACCCAGGTAATTTTCCGGGGAGACAGGTTTGAATCTTGAATCTTCATGGTGAATTTTGAATTCAATAACAAAAAATCTGGAATTAAACGTCTAATGATGACCATGAATTCATTGTTGACCCATTGTTTGGAAAACTGATCTGGTTCATTACTGTCTTTTAGGGAAGGGAGCTGGTCTACATGTGACTCCATACGCACAGTAATGGGGATGACTCTTAACTGCTGTCTGGGATGGGCAATAAATGCTGCCCTAGCCAGAGATGTCTTCATCCCATGAATGAATTTTAAAAAAAAAAGACAGTGACCTCAGTCCCAGGGCATTTCTGCAAGAGTTCCTCAGGATAGATTCCTAGATCCCAACCAACTAGCTGCCCCATCAGTGGCCTTCCCTCCAAATATGGTCAGAAAGGGTGCCAGTCTCTGATTGTATAATGTTCAACCTTTTAGAAGTTTACAACTTCTTGGAAACTAAATAGCTGAGAATGATTGGGCCCCTGACACTATCCTGAGTAGCTCCTGCAGAATACTGTGAACAGTTTTGATCTATTTTTCTAAGGAGGCATTGGAGACAGTCTGGAAAAGGTTTGTGCAGTTGACCCCAGGAATGGAGGAACTGTCTTACCTGCAGAAATTCAGTGGTTTGGGCCTGTACTTATTGGATTTTAGAAGAATGAGAGGTAACCTTAATTGAAGCAGGGGACTTGACAGGGTAGATGCGCAAGATTGTTTTCTCTGTTCGGAGAGTCTAGGACCAGAAGACACAATGTCCAGAATAAGGGGTGGGCCATTTGAGACAGTGGTGAAGAATTTCTTTTCTGCTGGTAGTGGATCTGTGGAATTCTTTGCCAGAGACATCAGTAGAGGCTGAGTCATTAATTATCTTCAAGCTGAGATCGACAAACTTATAATTGGTAAGGAATCAAGGGTTTTGGGGAGAAGGCAAGAAGATAGATTTGAGGATTGTCAGATGAGCCATGATCTCAATGCATGGCAGGGCAGATTTAAAGGGCTGAATAGCCTACGTCTGCTCCTACATCATGTGATCAGTGACCTGGGACTAAGAACATTGGTCTTCAAGAATCCACATCCCATCTTCCTCATTCATGAGTAATAAGCAGAGAAAGAGAAGGTGTCATTTTGATCCTTTAGTTAAATTAACTGATTAGAGTGCAAGAAACAGGAATAACATTAGACCATTCTGCCCATCAAGCCTGTGCAACCATTCAATACAATCATGACTGATTTTGAGCATCAACTCCATGTTTCTGCCTGCTCCCCATATCTCTTGATTTCTTGAGAGATGAAGACCTATCTAGCTCAGCCACAAATGTATTCAGTGATGGAGCATCCACAAGCCTCTGGGATAAAGAATCCCAAAGATTCACAATCCTTTGAATGAAGAAGTTTTACCTCAATTCCATCCTAAATAATCAGCTCCTTGAAATTGTGCCCCATGTTCTAAATTTCCCAGCCAGAGGGAACAAGATCTCAGTATCTACTTTCAATCCTTTTGAGCATCTTGCATGTTTCTGTGAAAGTGCCTCTCATTTTTCTTAACTCCAGGGAATACAGACCCATTTTGCACAGTGTCTCATTATAGGCTCCTGGGATGAACGTTGTCCAACGTACTGAAGCTTCACTATATTGTCTTCAATCCTGCATCCTTCCTTATATACAGTAAGCAAAAAATTGTGCACCATGCTCTGGGTTGGGTGTCCTTTCAATAAAGGCCATTTGTTTTATTTATCTCTTGCTGTACCGGGAGTGGGAATAGAAACATGGCTCCTGGCAGGAAATCAGTAAGGACTCAATAGAAGAGGTTAATCAGCTTTTTCTATGTTTGCCACTCGGCAAGTGAAGAAAACGCCTGGGACTTTCAGACATTTGTGAATCATGCACATTCACAAGAATGATTTGCAAAAAAAGTTTACTGAATAATTTCAAATTTTATTCTTAATTTGAAAAGGAAATTTGATGGGCAATAGAAGGAAATAAACTTGCAAAGTGATGGGAATAGAATGGAGGAATGTGACTGGTTTGCTCCAGAAGAGTCAGTGCAGATTCAATGGGTCAAATAGCTTTCTGTGCTGTGATAACAATTGGCTCTACTCTACCACCGTGGCAATGTAATCAAAGACTATTCTGGCAAAGGGTGCAATAGTAGTTTGCAACAATGAAATCACAGTTGGCGGCACAAATTCTACTGAGACCATATCAGATAAAAGTGGGCATTTGATAACTAAACAGACATTGAACTCTATAAACTCAGGGAACTTTGTGCTGCAGGAGTTTTCAACAGCACTTTTGACCAAGGGAATAGAAACTGAGTTCCAGCAATATGCTTTTTGACTACAGAGTTTAACTCTTCTTTTTAAAGAAACAAATAAACCAAGAGATTAAATCATTTCTGCCACATCCCCACTGCAAAAATTCTCTTTGGCATCTGCAGTGAACCTGGAGAATGATGAAAATCATTTTGCTGGCAATTTAGCCAGTGGGGAGCATCATAAACAAACAAGAATCACCGCAAAGCTGGGAGTAATTGATAGCATACATGCCTCTGGGTCAGAAAGTTCAAGTCCCGCAGTGAGGTTTGAAGACAAAAGTCAAGGCTGATACTTCATTGCAGTATGAAGAGACTGCTGCATTGTTGGATGTGCTGTCTTTTGGACGAGATGTTAAT